GGGGGGTTCTTTATTAACATATTGTGCTATTTTTAGTATTATAACCTGAACATCTATGTGCTTATATGCAGTTATGCACTTCAATAAGCTTTTTCTTGGCATCCACACTTGTAGCCTGTGTTAGTGACACCAATTTTACCAAAATTTTCAGATCCTCAATGTATATGTAACAAAATATCAAACTGGGGGAACCTATTGGCCTATTGTCCACAACACAACAATTTTCTCAATGGTGCTGATGCAAATTATAGCCATGGCAGTCTTTGGACTAAAAAAGTCTACAGTGGCATCAAGCTTCGTAATTCCGCTGATAATCTTGACACTCCTTTTCAATGAGTATTGCAGACAGAGGTTTCAACCATTATTCAAGCACATTCCTGCTCAGGTATATTTAATTGCTATGTTCGATTTACAAATATTTTCTGTTATATGCCTCTTATCCCAGGTGTTCATTTCCGCAGATCCTCATTGAAATGGATCGGCAAGATGAGCAAAATGGGAAGATGAAAGAGATCCACCAAAAACTCACATCAGCTTATACTCAGTTCAAATCCAGTTCCCTCATGCTCGGTGATCCTGTTCCCCCAAGTCATAACAACTGCAGGCTTGAAGACCTAGAAATTAATCCAGGTTCAAATTGCTAAATGACTATTATGCAACAATTTTTAAAAATTTGAATGTCTTTCAAAAAATGTTCTTGTGTTGGTTATAGGAAAAATCCCTGTCCATCACCCTTCTTAATGGGTTCAACATACGTTGAAAATTGGAGAATCATAATCAAGCAGAGGAATTTCTGGGCATACATGCAGCAACATTGCTAATCGAGATTGTTGTAACTATATTTTTGGAGGAAGGGCATGATGATATCTCGAATAGGGACATTTAGTATACTCAGGAGATGAATCTTAAAAACTCCTAGGGCTTGCAAGATTTTGAGAAGTTATTTAGATTGTACTTTTTATTCTCTCCTTTCTGGATCTCTCTCCGCTTGTCTCACATAGAGATGGGAAGATGAACGTTATTGAGTTTTTGTACAGATGATAGTTCCATGAATGGTGAAACCTTTTGTTAGAGTATGTTCTCACATGTATAGTTGAAACGCTTACAGGTTAATCTATCAGAGGATTTTGGTTGTTCTAGATTTTTGGCTACTGCCATATAATTTCCCAGCCGGAAAATAAGAAACAAAATGACAAAGTAACTGCTACTATAATACCGGAACTTTCATAGGAAAATGCTCTGTTTCTACGACCACTGATTATCTCTAGCGCTAACACGCCAAAGCTAAAAACATCTGATTTATTGAGAAAACACCATGGACGACATACATACTCTGGGGACATGTAGCCACTGCATCACATATTGTTGCGGAAGCCAAATGTATATAGTGTGAATAAGTCACAACTACTATACCAAAAATTATGACAGCCACCAAATAATAAATAAGACAATAAAGCAACAATAAAGGGAACACCAGAATTTACGAGGTTCGGCTAATTTTGCCTACTCCTCGGACACAACCAATATTTTATTTCACTCCAAAAATACAAGTGAAATAATACTAAAGAGAGAAGATACAAATGCCTTAAACAGATGAGAAGGCAAATGAGANAATGTCAGGCCTTGTGCAAACCATTGCATACATCAAGCTACCAACAGCATTTGCGTATGGTACCTTTGACATATACTCTCGTTCAGCTTCATCCATTGGCGACATAGTAGTACTTAGCTTAAAATGGGAAGCAAGTGGAGTACTAACTGGCTTAGTCTTGTCATCTATGCCAAAACGTTGAAGTACTCTCTTCAAATATTCCTTTTGAGATAAACAGAGTTTCTTTGAACGTCTATCTCTAATTATCTTCATGCCAAGAATTTTCTTTGCCTTACCCAAATCCTTCATCTCGAACTTCTTCTTCAGTTGAATCTTCAACTTATCAATTTCTTTTGAATTCTTGGAAGCTATCAACATATCATCAACATATAGGAGAAGATATACAAAGGAACCATCTTTAAGCTTGCGCAAATACACACAATGATCGT